GTGCTGCATTTTGCAGTGCTGCATTGGAGCAGAGCAGGCTGGAAGGCTCCAGGATGGCACAGAGCTGGGTTTGGCAGTGCTGGAGGGCTCCAGGGTAGCACAGAGCTGGATGTGCTGGGTTTGGCAGTGCTGCAGTGAGGCAGGGCAGGCTGGAAAGCTTCAGGATGGCACAGAGCTGGGTTTGGCAGTGCTGGAGGGCTCCAGGGTGGCACAGAGCTGGGTTTGGCAGTGCTGGAAGGCTCCAGGGCGGCACAGAGCAGGGATAAGGGCTGAATTGCTGGGTTTGGCAGTGCTGCAGTGCAGAGGAGCTGTGCAGAGCCGGGTGAGGGAGTGCAGGGAGGGAGCCTCGTGGAGTGATGCAGTGCAGAGCAAGGAAGAGGGAAAGCTGTGCTGCAGATCCTAGAGCTCAGGTAGGATTTGGGGAAAGAGCAAGGAGTGGATGGATGCTGAAAGGCTGGAGCACAACAGCTCTGGGTGTTCTCTTGCCTCTACCAAGCACCACAGGAGGGAAACAATGTTTTTTTAGGGAGGCTCAAAAATAATTTATTTCATAAATTATTCTGTGTATTTAATTTTTTAAAATAATTGGGGTTTTTCCAAGCTTTTTTTCTTCCCCTGTGAGGGTGAAATTTGATTTGACATGTGACTCTTGTGTCATCAAATGACTCCAGGATCTGGGGATTTAGGAGAAAGATGAATGATGGGATCTGCAGGTGTGATCTTAGGAGGCACTGCCACAGTGACAGCAGGAGCAGAGCTGTGTTCCTTTGATACTTGAATGACTGCTTCCTTTCATTTCACTTTTCACTTTCATTTTGTGTTTTGCTCAAGAAACTACTCCTTTTTTTACTCCTTTTTTTGCTTAAAACTGCTTTCACCTAGTCTTGCATAGGATTCTTCCATCTTGGTGTGGTGTGATACTGGCTTTACTGGAGAAGGAAATGTTCAGTGTTGCTACAGAAATACAGAAGATCCTCATCAAGCAGATTCTTTTCCAATTTCATATGTATTTATTTTGCTTGTTGTGTGTTCTGTTCGTGCTGATGCTTGAAGTCAACCTACTTGAATGTGATTATTCTTTTGTTTACTTGATTTCTGTTTCCTTTCAAATATCTACAGGGTTTTTCTGCTTTGAAGAGTTTAGGGTTACAAATTCCAGTTTAGGAGAAAGGCTCTGCTTGAGGGACAGGAACAGATTTTGAAGCACAAAGTGTGTTGCTTCCTCCTATAGCACTTGTCACAAATTAAGACATTCACTGAACAAAAAAAAATGCTGAGCCTTGGAAGTTACTTAGATTTTAAACTTAGAAGAGAGATGTGTTTAAAAATATCACATGAGATCTGTGTGAGGATCTGGTTGTGTGGTGGGCAGCAGCTCTGCTGAGGGTGCAGAAAGACAAGAGCTGCTGATGGGGCTGGGACTGTGGGCATCAGTGCCAGGGTGGCACCCAAACACTCAAAGGGCTGTTACCTTTTCCATGTGCCCCAATTCATGTCAACCCTTCCCAGAAATCTCATCTTGCACCTGAAATTCTGCTCTAAATTTTGCCTGGAAGTCCCTAGACTCCCTCACTATGCTTCTGGATAGGAAATTGCATTTCTCCTAATTAATTCCAATGTTTTAAAGTTCTAGCTGCTGTAGGCTGAGACAGTTTCAGGAATCAACACAGGAAATCAGCACTATTGAAGCAACACCCTTAGAATCAAACCTAGTGCTTGCTGCCTGAGAGCAGGTCTGCACAACCAGCTGGGAAAAGTGCTGTTATCTGCTGTCACCTCCCAGGAATTACAGCTGGAGCTCTTATTACTGCCTGGCACAACATGCCAGATTGTCAGAGGGACCCCTCCCCTGGAGCCACAGGGAAAGGAGTGATCCTGGACTCTTCCAACAGGTTGGAGTGGGAATTGCTGCCATCTCACTCAACCCCTCCTGGAGGAGGAGCAGGAAATGCTCAGCTCTTGATCTGGAAAAAAAAAAAAAAACCAACAAAACAAACTAACAAACAGGGAAGTTGATCTTTTATGAAAATCCTTTTATGAAAATCAGACATCTTTTATAAAAAATCCTTTCCTTAGGATTTTTCCTCCTGAGAGGCTGAGAAGCCTCAGGAACAAAATGCAAACATTGATTATCTGCTGCTGTGGGATGCAACAGGTGCATCTGTGATTGGCTCGTGTGGTTGTTTCTAATTAATGGCCAATCACAGTCAACTGGCTCGGACAGAGAGTCTGAGACACAAACCTTTGTCATTCATTCCTTCCTTTTCTATTCTTAGCTGGCCTTTGGATAAAATCCTTTCTTCTATTTTTTTTAGTATAGTTTTAATTTAATATATATCATAAAATAATAAATCAGCCTTCTGAAACATGGAGTCAGATCCTCATCTCTTCCCTCATCCTCAGACCCCTGTGAACACGGTCACAGATCCCTCAGTTGATTATTCCCCAGTTTAACCATCACCCAGGCCTTTCCTCTATTCTGCTGCCTGCTTTCCCTCTTCTCTCCTCACCAGGAGCAGCAGATGAGAAGATGGAGTGCTCAGTGAAAACTGAGAGGTTTTGTTGGTAGATCTGTTCATCTATCAAAGTCCAGGCTGCAGCCTTTTTTTAAATTGACTCTGCTGCTTTTCTTCTTTCATAAATTACTCTTAAAAAAATAGAGACAAAAGGCTGCCAACTGTGTTAGTTCCCGGAAAAATCCTTCTTCTGTTTAATATACAACTTTTGAGAGACATTTAAAAGTGAGATGCAGCCATGTGTGAATGCCTGCATATATAGAGCCATATCACACCAAAGAATTTCAGCTGCTCACATGCTGATTTTGCTGCAGATTCCAGGTTTTTTTTTGTGTGTGTTTTTTTGGTTGGTTTTTTTTTTTTTTTTTTTTTTTTTTTTTTTTTTTTTTTTTTTTGTTATTTTTTCCCCTCAAAGATGCTTGTTTCAGTTTGGGCAGGTTTTTGTGGTCAGCCCTTCAGAGACAAGGCTCTTCACTCACCCACACTGACTGCATC